GAAAAAGTTTTGAATTTACGTGTAATATTATTTTATTGAAGAATCTGTGGTTGAAATGATGTCGAATCACTGTTTAAGAATACATTTTTTCTAAAAAATGTGGCTCAAACAAGGCCTAAGATTATGTTTGTTAGAAATTAAATTCAAGATTTTAATTCAAATCAATGTCAAATTAATGTTAATAATTAATTTTAACCACGTATTTTATGTGACTCACAACTTTTTAACAATACATTTCATCAACTTCTATAAAAAATTATTAAAAATCTGATATTAATTTCCACCAAAATTGGGGATAGATTAAAGTTAATATTTTATTGTGATTAAGTGATGAAACTGATGATTGTAAAATATTACTTTTGTACGAAAAAGTAATTTATTGTATAAATTGATTAATTATTATTATTTTTAACTGGTATGTGTAATTAGTTGTTACTCCCTAAGAGGCACGGCGTTATAATATTTTGGAATAATACTACATGCTTCCCAGGAACATGATACTACAGCTTCAATAATAATATCAAATTGTTGATTCTGAAGGAGCAATAATATAAATATATCAATATTTAATATAAATTATAATGTGATATTGAAGTAGCACATGTCTCAAATAATATAAACTCGTTTAATCTCTTGAAAAAATCGTGATTTTGTGAACAAATGCATATCATAAAATGCAACACAATTCTCAAATAACACTACTCGGTATAATCTCATGAAGAGATGCGATATATTTTGAGAATTTTGAGAAAATAATTTATTATTCTAGAAAAACATAGTAACATTACTTGAAATGGGATTATATTTTATATTATTTGTCGCTCCTAAAAAAGCACAAATCCACACATAATAATATTTAAAAACAATACTATCTTGTTACTCTTGAAAAAGTATAATATTTGTGCATATCATATTCTAGATGAATTTCATGTCAATATTCTTGGTAAATTATGACTTTTTAAACAATATTCTAGAGAAATATTATGTTAGTACTCTTGAAAAAGCATAAACTTCTATTTCGTAATGTTCTAAATAATATTCCTTTGTTGCTTCCTAAATAAATATATTAATTTATACAAATCAATATTCTAGAATAATATCGTGAAAAGACGTGACTTTATATCTATGAAAAATTTGTATTATTATTTCAAAATTGAGAATGCATATGTTTGCAAAATCTAGATAGATTGCATAGCATTGATCAAAACATTAATATCTTAACGTTTCATGATTCAATCATCATAAAAATTTGGACAGAACGTTCACAATATATTTTCTTAAAATTTAATGGTTAGATCAAAATCTAACAATTTATTTATAAGAAATAGATATGTCTATAGTAATGAATTTTTGAAGTACAATAATTTTTTTTGAAATTTAGATCTTTGAAAAATATAAGATTTATCAATTATTCAAAGATCTCTAAATGCTTTCAAATCAAAGCAAGTATACTCTTTAAAAGTATTTTATTTGTTATATATCATATTTGTGGAATCTTTTGCTTGTATGTTTAATGATTTCAATGCTTTTGAGTAAACAAAAAAATTATGCCCTTATTTGATCCCCATTATTTTCAAAATGCATTCGTCTATCTTTCTTTTTAACAACACATTTTCGATAAAATAATATTACACACAATTCTAAATTGTTTCTTATTTTTTGGTATCACAGTTTCCATCAACTTATCATTCTAAAATGCAATATACACCAAAAAATGAGGATCAAATGACCTTATGTTATGTATTGTAGGTCCTTAAGAAGCACAATTATATGCTTATTAATGTTCTTTGAAAAATATTTTTTGATTTTAAAGAAGCACAACTCAACTCCAAAATATTTAGGAAGAATATCATTTTGTTATGCCTGAAAAAATTAGAATTTTGTACAAATTGATATTTTAGAAGAATTTGTATTAGTCTCAAAAATTAACATTATATGAGTCCAGATTTGATATATGTTTAATGCTCATGGAGAAGCATTGTTTGATACAAATATTATTATTGTTCTTGAAGAAATATATTATCATTAGTATTAGTATCAATATTCTAAAAGAATATAATATTTTATTTTCGAAGAATTAGAAATTAAAATATTCTAGAAGAAAATTGTATTGCTACTGAACAATTGTATTTTCAATTATTATTCTTCTTGAACAAGTAAAAGATGATTATGTCTATATTCCACAATAATAATATAAATGCTCTTGAAAATGTGCTTAAATGAAATGGTTACAATCCCCGAAAGAGAAAAGAAAAACTTTCGAAGTAAATAGTAGTACAATTGATGCAAATACTTTATTGAACCAAAAGTTCAACAACTATAATATTTTATTGTTTGGCGTGGTTGGTTAAACCATCATTAGACAAATGCGAAACATTATTAAGAATTAAAAGATTCTTCAATCCAATAATTTCCTAAATGATACTTTTCTATATATTGAAAATTGATTATCAACAATCAGATACATCGTTTATGAGATGATTGCATGGTTTTCACAACTTGAATTTTGCGAAATGATTGCTCAAAATTTTAAATTGCGAGCATAATTTTCAAATTATACCATCAAAATAGTGTATCATGTCAATAAATGATTTAACACAATTGATTGTTAAGTGCTTCCAATCAATTTCTTAATAATTATTATTGAGAACAAAATATTTCTCATTTCTATTTAGAGAATACTACTATACATCATGTTAACATCAAAGTTCTCCTAATTATAATAGATTTATGGTTCAAAGCATAATATTTTTCATCTTTTGAGAGCACGATATACGTATAATTGCTTTATTGCAATGCACTAATATGAATATTAAAGAACATTGAGAATGCAAATTTAGTTTAAACCTTTTTTAAAGATTTTAAACCAGGTGATATTTGAGCATTGTATTGTTTAATTTAAGTAGATTATTCTATTTTAATTGTGTAAATTATATATTAGAGATTGAAAATAAGTTCTTTCAAAATTGACTATTTATCATTGTTAGACATGTTCTAGAAATGTCTAAAAATCAAACATGATTTATTTGATGAAATTTGTATCCAGTGATCGATTTTCTTAAATTGGCTCACATGAACTTGAAGTTTGCTCTTGATATAGTTTTGTCTTGTGTATTACTTAACATAATTTATTATTATTGTAGTATTGTTTTGCTTTTTTCAAAAAATAAAATAAAATTAAAATTGATTATTAGCTCCACCACTATATTTTTTAGTGTTTCATTTAGAGCATATCCCCAATCATGGGAGATTGGCTTAGCTAAGATTGTATATCGGCGGAGTTGATTATCTCATAGTGCGTTTGATTTGTCATTTTAAGGTCATTTTTAATTTTCAAATTTTTTGAAACACTCAAAACATGTTTTGTATGTTTTTTTTTTTTTCCAAAAAAGTGTTTTCGAAAACACAAAAAATTTTTACAATATATAACTAAAAATGATATTTTCACATTTAAAACAAGGAAAATAAACTTAAAAATTTATCAAATTAAAATAATTAATAAAGTCACACAAAATTTACCCAAATACAAATACCAAACTCTCAATTTCTCTCTCTCAATTTATTATTTACGGATGAATTTGATGTGATTGTTGAAAATATACTTACAAGAATTCCTTTTTTACCAACTTTAAAATTTATGTTTTGATCATATATTAACATAAAATTGATATGTTTTACTAAATAATCAAATCAATTGAAAAAAATGTCATGAAATTATTTCTGAAACTTTTAAACCAAACGAGTTTTCTGGTTTTTTTTTTTTTAAGAAAAAGTTTTTCAAAATGACAAACCAAACGCATTTTCAGAAATCTTAAAGTAAACCCTTAAAACAAAAAACAAAAAGTAAATTCAAAACTGAAAATTGAAACGCAAACCAAATGCACTCTAATTTTTGTATGTGAGTTTTAATCATTCAATAAATTAATATTTATAATGAATTATATTATGTTCCTACTATAGATCTTTGCTGGGAATGGTTATTAGGGGATCTTTAGAAAGCCCATTTTATGAAATTTCTAAAAGATAACGGTCTTAAAGTAGCGAAATTCCTTGTCGGGTAAGTTCTAACCCGCACGAAAGGCAGAATCAATCTACTTGCGAATTGGTTTATGAGAGAGGGCCAATCTTTTCCCTGTTTGGTGAAAAATTAAAGTTTGAATATTAATTTAAGTTAAATTTAATAACGCATTTCATGTAACCTAAAACTTTTTAACCCACATTTGATCAAAATTTACTAAATATTCGATTTTAATATCCACCAAACAGGAGCCTTAATTTTGGCTCCACACTCTAAACATATGAATAATTAGTAGTAGCTGCTATACGTATTTTTTGAAGAATTTTTTTCTTGTACATTATTGTGTATATATTGATGATGCTTATTATATTAACTGATTTTTTTCTTTCATTATTCTTTTAATCTTTCTCTTTATTCCACATCATCAATATGTACATTAATATGTATACAATGATATACAAATACCATTATCCTTCCTTGAATTTGTGCATTTAACTGTATTATTTTAGCAAAGGGCTGCTCCACTTGGCTTCTTTATATATCATTTACATTACCTTTATTATTATTATTTTTTGGGCAAATATCAACCCAAAAAAAAGGAAAAAAAGACACATTTCAGTCGTGAATTTCAAACAAATCAACAGTTCAAGCCATACGCTCTGATAAATAAAAATAAAATATCAACAACTCATCAAACTTTAATCCATGAAATCCCGTATTAGATAAAATAGTTGATTTTTTATTTGAGCAATTGAGTCATTTCTTTAAAAATAAAAAGGTATGAGGTTAAAATGTAGAGAACAAATATAAATAACGTGTAATATTATTTTATAGAGAGAACGTTATTTTATAGAGAGAATGTTAGGTAGAAAATAAATGAAAAAATTAAATTAAAAATTTTATTTCACGAATTAATAAATAAATTATTTTAACATAAACCAATGGCCAATAAGTTCTACGCGTGGCTATGGAAATTCTCGCGCCCAAAGATTTCACCTAGAAATATTAATGTACACATAAAATGGTAGGAGAAAAATAAATCTCCTCTCGCCTGAATTGTAGTTTACAGTCAAGAATCAGCACTAGCCATGGCAGGTGCCGTGGCTGCTCCTTCTCCATTTCTTGGCCAAGCCCCACTTCACTTTGTAAGCATCTCTCGCTCCCAATTCTTTCGTTGACTTATTGAAGGAATTCGATTGCAGGATTCTGGATCTAATAATTTGTGTTTCCAGAATCTTGTCTGGTAGAATCGCTATCTGTTCTTCTTCATTTTTATTTTTTTTGGACCTTTTTGATTGTGTAAATGGACATGTGTTAAAGAAATATCAGCTCAATTCCATGTGCGCTGGACCAGTAGTTCCTGCAAAACACTGTAATGATCATAATAATTTCTAGCATATATATAGTTATTGAATTAAACGAGTACTGCCTATTAATCGCAATCAGTTTAGGTATTAACTGGTAGAGTTACTCTGAATGCATCTAAATTTGTTCAAACTTGACCTCAAGGTCAAGGGCACAATTTTGCTTTTTTCAAAGAAATTCTACGGAAGAAGTATGCATGCTAGTTGATTTCATTAGAAAAAATTTCGTGTTTTTGGGATGTAATATCAATGCTATTGCGGTGGAAGGTAGGGATTCTTAAGTTATTCATTTGCGCTGCATTCTCTAGTTTCAAAGATTGATCCTGTCCTTGTGTACTTCCCTCCAAGTTTTGATCGATTAGAAGTCACGAATCTTATAATTGTTTGCATATGTTGATTTGTAATCATGGATTCAATAGTGTTCATGCTATCATGATCATATTTGGAGATACGGAGTATTTCTTTTATCTCAGATTTGCCATGTAGTCTTGATATGAAGATAAGGCACCATTTAGTTTCTCTGTTTTTTCAGGAAACCATACGACATCATTTATGTGGCTGCATTGTTTATCTTCTGCTCTGTCCATTTGCATTACCATTAGCAAATTACTGCACAAATATTAGCACTCACCTTTTATTTTCATACATTGAGAACACGTATCTAATTCTCCAACTGCAGAATAAAACATCATTTGAAAGATGTACCCTGAGTTCTGTTCTTCAACTTAGGATAAAAGCCTTATTTTGGGGACCAAGGAAGGCCGTGGAGCCTGTTAAAGTGGATCCATCTATTGGAGATTTTAGTTTGATGGAGTCAGGATCAAAGGTTTTTATTTTCTGCCTTAAATAGTTTTTGGCGTTTTATCTCAATTCTAATGCTAATTCCATTCCATTTCTTCTAAATTAGGGTGGTACGACAAATTTAGGCGAAGCTAAAAAACTATCAGTTTCAGTGGTTTCTTCTATATCTGAGGTTTCGTCTGATGAATGGGATTCTTGCAGTCGTGATGCAACAGGTTCAGAGCAATTTAATCCATTTCTTAGCCACGGTTTTCTTTCAAGCCTAGAGGAAACAGGTTGTGCAGTGAAGGTTAGGAATGTTCCCTTTTTGTATTTCTATTCAGCAAAACACTCAGCCATTCAATCTCAACAAACTTTAGCTAGGACTACAAAATACATTCATCCTTTCCATTTTTTTTGCACTTGGAATCTGGACGAATTAAATATGATATGGTATATATCTTTTCTTCCTTTTTGCACGACTTGCTTACGATATTGATAAAGCTTTAGTATGTTCGACGATATGGATAAAGCTTTAGTATGTTTGATGCTCCCTGGGTTCAGGTGTATAACTGAATCTAAAATAGCTAAACTTTTTCTTTTCGAGTTAGATCTTTTCATGTATGCATTTAGGGAAAGCATATAATTCATTATACTCCCTATTTCAGGAGACAGGATGGGTTCCACAGCATATAATTGCTCGGGACGAATGCAAAAATGTTCTAGGAGTGGTTCCTCTCTATCTGAAAAGGTTTGTGTTGTTTTCAGTAAAAAGATATTGTTTTGATATTTTATTATGCATATATACAAGTCAAATACACATCGCAAACACACTGCACATGTCGTGCATTTGTGGTTTCGTAAGATACTTTCTTCCCATGTTCACACCTGGCCATCCTTCCATGCACTTGCAGCCACTCTTATGGGGAATTTGTATTTGATCATTCATGGGCAGACGCCTATTACAGTTATGGTTCAAGATATTACCCAAAACTACAATGCTGCGTACCTTTCACTCCAGTTACCGGCCAGAGGATCTTAGTCCGTAATACCGCGTATAGAGATCAGATCTTTGACATTTTGGTCTCTGCATTGATGGCATTGACAGTCAAGGTAGTCGTTGAATCTAATTGTTCTTTCTTTTTTATTTTCTCTTAGAATTTCATGTTGATTATTGCTTCGTTTACAATCACTTATCCTAATGTTTCCACTGTAAGGTCTGCAGTTTCTTTTTTTGTTTCATTTCTTGGCGAGGAAGCAGAATTGGAATTATTGAAACAAGATTAAAGTAAAAGCTAGAACCTATGTAGGGAATAATTTTATTGTATTGAATTGATTATTGAAAAAGTTAAAAAGCCTTTGTACATATAGACTAAATATTCCCTAATTTTACGGATATAAGGAAACTAATATAAAATCCTAATCTAAAGGAAATTAGAAATGTGAAAGAAATCATATTCTAAACAAGAAATTTTGATAACAAGATTAAATCTATTACAATTAAACATCTTATTTTATATATGTATATATATAACCTTTATCCTATTTAATAGGATTGTCCTACATCATTCTTTCCTACTTGAAAAAAAAAAAAAAAAAAAAAAAAA